GTGGAGGCGGGGTCGAGAGCCGTACACCAGCCGGGCGACCTCGCCGCGGCCGGAGCCGCTGGTCGCCGTACCCGCCACGACCCGGCCGCTGCTCGGGAGCGTCGGAGCTGGCTGATTGAGAAGTTTAGCGCCAAGACGCAGGTGGATGGGTGGGTGGGTGAGTGAGTGTGTGGATGGGTGGGTGGGTGAGTGAGTGTGTGGTGATTTCGCCTTCCTCCCTACCTCCTCGCCCCCCTTCTCCCGCACCCTCTCTCCCGCCCCTGCTACAGGTGTATCAGAACTGCCGCATGCTGAGTCACGAGGGGCAGTTGCTTTGCTTCTGTGACTCCCGGAAGCTGAGGTGGTACTTGAATAAAGGGCTGGCAGTGCAGGTGGGTACGCGGGGAGAGGGAGGGGGGAGCGGCCGGCTGGGAGTGATGTGTGAGGAGGTTACGGCTGCAGGGCTGTGCCGCCGTGTGTGCTCTCATTCGCCGGCGGTTGGTATCGTTATCCGTCGTCGTCCTCCTCGTCCTCCTCCTCCTCGTTGTCGCAGCAGCGGCGAGAGCGAGGGGCCGGCGAGGGGGCTGGGGGGGAATGGACGCGTCAGTAGGGGGGGGGAATGACCCACACGGAGGGTGAGGTGAGGGTGAGGTGAGGTGGTTAGGTTGGGTTCATATGCTGGTGGGTCGCAGCCGCGTACCTCCCCCCCACTCCGGTGTATTGCCCTCCGAAGCTAAATACACGTCTTGTCAAGTGCCTCCCCCCAACCCCCCTCTCCACATTCCCCCCGGGGCCCCACAGGTGTGTGAGGACCCCCCCACCATCCAGTTGCTGTTCGAGCACCAGAATACCGACCAGAAACTGGGTGAGCAATTGGGGGGTCACCGGGCCACGGGGCGGGAAGGCGTGAGAGAGGGTGAGGGAGGTGGGGGGTGAGGGAGGTGGGAGGTGGGGGGTGAGGTACAGGAATGTGGCCCTGGCGCCTTTTCATTCACGAAGAGGTGGAGAGATCCTTTAAGCCTTACCGATGGAGCCGCGCACTGCAAACCCTGTGCTGCCAGCTCCTCCTCTGCACCCATCGCCCGCCGTGCCCCCCTACGCACTTATCACCCACCCACCACCCGCCACAGGCACCGACGACTTCTATACGCAATCCAAGTCCAATCGCTGTGTGGGTTGCGGCTGTAGCAGCCACTACCTGCGCTACCGGGTGCTCCCCGCCTGCTACCGCCGCCACATGCCCTCCGCCCTCAAGAGCCACCGCTCACACGATGTTGTGCTGCTGTGCATCGACTGCCATGAGCTGGCACAAAAGGTGGGGATTTGGGGGCCCCTGGGGGGTGGGTGTGGGGAGTTTCAGGGGAGGAGAGCAAAGGAGGGGAGGTGGGTGCTAGGGAGTCCGGGTATGTGTGAAGGAGGACGTGTGTGTGGTGATATGTATGTATAGCGGGCTGC